CGATCGCGAGTCCCCCTTACTGCTGCTAAATGACTTACGAACGTGTCTTTAGCCTCTAAAATTACGCAATTAGCACCCAGTCAATCATTGCCCATCTCATCTCATGTAGTTTCATCTTAGTTACCATAGCAACTGTTAATTAACTATCACCATGGAAACAAATGATGTCGATTGGTTTGAAAACTCGGAACTGAAATCATATTTTTTTGATCCTTTGACTTTTGGTGTCTTTTTAGCTGATAAATAAATATATAAGACTGGGGAAGAGTAGCGTAGGAATTAGTATATGAAGAAGTTAAGTTTTGTTTTCGATTTTGGGGTTATTCAACCAAAGAATGGAGTTATTTTACATGATTGCCGTGTCAAAAAAAAGTCTCTTAGTACGTGTAGACTTCGCATAATCCGCGCGCAAGTTTTTTTTAAAAAAGCTTTTATTTTTTCGGATTTACACCGCATTGAGATTAGGCGTTATTAACGATATTGGTCAACAGCCATTTGAAATTTCCGGCTGACGTTTGCTCACTAGTTCATCTTAAAAGCGACGACAAACATGGTTTATGCGCTGATAATTTGCATATGGAAAATTGTAGAAGACCGAAGTAGGTCTACTGACAATCGCCTTTTCAACACCTGCGCCTAGCTCCGAGGAAATACTTCGTGAATACAGCTTTTAGCTAGCCAGCAGCTCTTATTTGGTTGTCTAAAAGAAAGTACCTGAATTAGACTTTAATGCTATTCAAGATACGGCGGCGTTAGTTGTCAAAAAATCTTGACGAAACAGCTAGGGAAATCTTCACTTTTGACCATGTTAAAGTCAGTTACCAAAAGGCTCAAACCTCTAATCACTGCGAAGCTGAATGAGGAATATCTAGCCATCTCAAACGAGTCTAATTTGTACTGTCTGAATTACATCGAAGCGCGGTTTAAAAGGCGTAATATAGAATCTGGGTTGGAGTTCGTGAGACCGGATTATGTATCAGAAACAAGCACTACCGTCTCGATCAAAATTGTGGAAGTTGGATCCCTGCTCGAAGACGCTTACCCTCACTTATTCACGAACGTTTCTAAACATCTTCGGGTTAGACTACGAAGTGAAGTCGTCATCAATGAGGTTTTTAAAACATTTGGAAGGGAGCTTTTTCGAGATGGCGCGACATGGGCAAAGATTACCGCTCTTTTTGCGTTCGCGGCGTCCATCAGTGAGGACTGTGTGCTGCAAGGAAGACAAGAGCTTGTCAAGTGCATACTGAACTGTGTTCGGATGTATATTCATGATCATCTAGCTGTGTGGATTAGAAATCAAGGCGGATGGGTAAGTGATTTTAATTCACATCCATTTAGGTTATAGAAATTACGGCATATTCTGTAAAGAGTTAATAAACACGCATGCACCGGAGAACAGCAAGACACTTGAATTCTTACATTTGAATAATTTTAAAGTGTACGCATAATAGGAAACTAGATTCGTGACGGAAAAGAAATGAAAATAATAATTTAGTCCTCTTATGAATAAAATATGGTAACGCCACATGTTAATCAAAATTTAATGAAATTCCTTTTTGTTCTTCAAAATTGCTCTCAAATTTTTCCCTTGCCAGTCGGCTCAAATATTTTTTACATTTTTATTGCGATACATCATCTCATGTTCCCAAAATCTGACAAATACTGATATCAAAAGGTAAACACAATACTAGAATTAACGTGAAGGCGATTTGTCGTAATTAATTAGAACCCAGTTGAAAATAAATTCAAAATCCATGATAAGTTTTGGTAATATTGACTAGTGAAATTAGTCGAAAAAATTCTTTTTGAATGGAAGTATAGCTTCGTTAAGATTATATGTTGTGGTAAGAAAAATAGAAAAAAGAAAATTTTATGTGGTTACATTGCAATTCAAACCTAACGAGAAAAAGAAAAGAAAAGAAAAGAAAAGGAAAAAAGAAAAAAAAAAAAAAAA